AGCAGTTTTGTGCTGACACTGCAGTTTTCTTTCCTTAACCCTGACAGTGGCTAGCACATCGTTTTTATTTACAATATCACCCTTGATTCACCTATAAGAATGAAGGCAATAATCACCAACTAAAGAAGCTCTCAGGGAATTTTACCTCATAAGATCTAATTGTTCACTATCGTTTGACCCAACCAGCACCATTCATTTAATCGTGTCAAAACACATAATGAAGGTTGACTCATGTAGGCCAGACTGATTGACTCAAGGTAGTCTAGCAACAGAACATTCACAAGAAAAATTAAAAAGTCCTTTTTTTTTTTTTTTTTTTTTTTTTTTTTTCATTTCTCAAGTTTGATATGTGTAGCAAAAAGAACATGGATAATTATTTGCATCTGTTTTGGAAACTCAATTGAGCCTTTTCTTAAAAAAAATATGCATCACCTCTTTGGGCAATTAACAAATTTCTGTAAGAATTTTAATTGCGTTTTTTTCCCACAAGAGCTCCAACAATAAACACCAGCAAATTTAAAATTTGTACTGTGAAATACAGTTATAATATTAATATGACCATGACATGATGCTTTTGTTATCCCAAGGAATTGCAAATTAGCAGTGTTGGACGCCGTCGTCATAATCAGCTTACATGGCTGCATTACAGTGTCAATACAACATACAGGTAAGTTAGCTTTTGAACAATTTCCTTTCGTAAAACTTTGCAAGTTATGAGTGGCTTAAAAGCCTATTATGAGGGGGTCTGGTGCTGTCTGTAAGACCTCTCACCCTTGTTCATTCAGCCTGCTAGCAGGCTCTGGTGTTTGGGATCCACCTTAATTGGCACAGTTGCCCATGACACCATCACCAGCCATTTATGCAAAAAGTTCTTGAAACCCTGGCATTTGTGATAATTCTATTTTGATTTTCTTTCAAAAACCAACCTTTGATTTCATTGGGCATGGAAGCAAATTAATCACACCTCAAATATATTGTCTCACTGAGACTGCATGGCTATAAAATGTCTCATGTATGGATTGACCTTGGAGAAAAGGTGTAATTTAGGAGGGACTTCAGAGCTTAACTGATTCATAAACAACTCCTTAATCAAACCTTACTTGGGGAAATCAAAAATCTGTGTTGCAAAAAGTACAAGAATTCTGTCAGCCACTTATGGAGAAAGCCCAGTAATTATGATTATCATACAGTCATGCAATAAGTTTCACTTAATGAAAAGTTAACTGCATTGTCCATTTCTTTACAATCAGGTCATCTGGCCAAACAGTTGACTCACAGTTTGACTTAAACAACCAGTTTCCGCCATTGCATTTTTCACCAGTGCGCAGTTTCAGTAACAATGCCACAGCCCCTTTAGAGTAGTATGCTGGATGTTAAGTGAGCTGGCAGCATGATTGAGGAAGTTTGTTACTTCCAATTAGAGTGTACATGTGAGATGTTGTTAGGAGGTACTGAGAATTATTACTAGATTGAGGGCAAAGTGCCCTTGATATGTCTTTGCTGATATGGCATATAGCTTACAAGGAACTAATAACCCTCTGTTAGTGATATTGAATAATTGCTCATGGATGTGGTGGAAAATGTATACCACTTTGACAGACGCTGATGTGAATAATTGTCTAAGTCTAGACCACACATAAATGAAACATGAGTTCAATTATTTCAGTCAACATACAGAAAAGTGGCCAGTGGAAAAAAAAAAAACAAAGGAAAAAAAAAGGTAGTGAGTGACCAAATCTTGCACAAGAATTCTGATCTTGTTTTGATTTATTTGCTTAGGAATCACAACAGTTAACAATCAATTAACTGATTCATTTGAAAGAAAATTATTTAGAAGAGTAACATGTTAATTTAGTTTCATGCTAGAATATTAGTTTAGGTTCTACATTTACAGTAAGCAGAATTGACACATTAATTAATGTTATGAGTAAACAATAGCCAAAAGGAGGCTGTTTTGTTTATTATCCTTCAAATATTTTTGCAATGCACAGGAGAAAGTTTTCAAACAGCTCAGTGTTTGCCGAGTGGAATGTTCACTTTCCAGTGTTGTCTGGTATGACTTTATGAATAAACATGTCCTTTCCAAGATTTGAAAATTGGGGAATATACATCTTGGGGTATATCCTTGGACATTCCCCAGTTTTAGTTTTAGTGCAAGAGCAAATATTTG